AAGTAGAACATCCTCCAAGTGTTCAAGACCTCTCTCTCACAAATATGGATCAAAAAGAAAGAAAAAGAGAATGATCTTTAAGAATTTCATGCGAGGCCTCGTGCACACACATACATGCGCATGCGCACACACACTACACACACACACACACACACATACAAGACAACATATGCCCCCGACACCAAACCCTTCCCTTAGTGCCCCCAAGGAGGCCGCCTTTGCCTTTTTGAACATTGGGTTCACACACACACTACATACATACAAAACAACATATGCCCCCAACACCAACCCTACCCTTAGCACCACTAAGGCAGCTGCCTCTGCCTTTTTGAACATTGGGTGTCGCTTATTTTTGGCTCACCGAAAGGGGCCAAGGTGGGGAAGGCCCCCAAGCGGTTGGGGTTGGGCGTCCACCCAGGTGACTAGGCGGGTGATTTTTTGGACCTTGACTTGTGGTTTGTTCTAGGGTCGAATTTAAGCAATTTTAGTGGGTCTATGTGGTTAAGTTGAGGGGAAATCCAACAAGTTTATGTGGCTGAAGAAACTCGATTGACATACAATAATATTTTCCTTGAGGTGTTCTTAAAAGGGTTTTTGTGGTTGTCTGTTGATTTCAAAAGCCACCACGTCGCAGAACGGAAGCTCATGTGGAACCTTGGATTTTTGGTGTAACAGCGGTAGAACGTAAGCTCGTCAGGTGCTGGCGTATAGAATTCTTCCTCCCGTTGCTAAAGCTTTCTCTTTAAGGCTTTGAACTCCAGTTATCGTTATTCAAGCGGTATCATAGATAATCTTTCCTTTCGTCTTTCTGGCAAGGGTTTGAAGAGGGGCTCAGTAGCTAGGAAAGTCAAAAGCGGAAAGAGTGTTTATAATCAACCTTCGTTCCAGTCGAGTCTACAATCCCTTCTGCAGTGCCGTACACCTAGCAGTAGAGTCTACAATCCTATTCCTTGCTCGAGAATTAACTACGTGGAAGAACATGAGGCGACGAACTGAACAGAAAGCCGATAGAGAGTGTTTGAATCCGTGCTTGCCCTCGCTCCAGCTCGTACACTGCCTTGCCCAGTAGGAATGGGAAAGAGTCTCTAATCCCTGCCTCAGTAATTGTTGTGTTTTAATTGGGCCAATAACCCATAGGTCCAAGGATGCGAAGCATAATCTTCAGGTTGAAGAAGGTTGCAAGGTTAATGCGAAATTCACCTTAGCCTTCAAGACTCGAGTACGAGTTTATTCAAACCAAATGAGTTTGATGCAAGAAAAATTATTCTTATTTTTATTTTTTTAAGTTCAAAGGATGTATATTTTAATTTTATTTTTGGGGTTTATTTCATGGGTTTTTTAAGGGATTCTAAGGTTTTTTAATATTTTTAGGATTTTAGGAGTTGTTTAGAAAGTAGTTAGAGTGCATATGGATTTATTTGTTTTGTCAAGGGTAAAAATATCATTACGAATTTTATTTAAATCATGGTTTTATTCTAATTAGAATTAGGATTTCATAGTCTCTAAGTAAGGTCATATATTATACATAGGGACCTATGTAGAGAATTTGGGATAGAGAGTTGAGTTTTGAGATCGTTTTATGAGTTAACTAGTGCGAGAGATACTGAAGCATGGCTTGTAGGCTCTCTTTTATTTTTCAATCAATAGATTATTGGATTTTCTTCCCTACGAAATTCTTTCTACATTAATTTTAGTAAAAAATGGTTGATTGTTTCAAATGGTAACAGTCAAGGATCATTTACAGCAGGTTCCAACCATAATATTAATGTCATTGCTAACTTAAAAACGATGGCACATATCTGCACCGTTTGATACAGAGTTATAGACACTAGATTGCTTTTCGTGAATGCAAGGCAGCGATGATAGCTGCATCATCATCATTTGAGCGTTGTTAAATTATTTAGGATCGCTACATGAGTCCTGTTTTGTTATTCTACTTTATAAAGGGTCATGCCTTAGTCAAAACATAAGTCATCATATCTCTTTCACTACTTCCATCCATGTTTTTTTGGGCCTTCCCCTTTCCCTTTTAGAGCCTTCTATTTAAACGAATTCACCCCTCCTAATTGGTGTTGTATTAGGTCTATGTTGAACATGGCCAACGTATCTAAAGTCTACTTTCCCTCAACTTATCTATTAAAGCCCCCCCCAAGTTCCATCATATGTATTTTCTGAATTATATTCTTTCTTGTCTTGCCACTTATCCATCTCAACATCCTCATCGCAGTTACCCTCATCTTATGGATATGTTGTTTCTTGTCTGCCCAACATTATGTTCCATAAAGTGTGGCTAGACTTATAGCCGTCCCCTATAAAACTTTCCCTTTTGTTTCATTGGTATGTGATAATTACATAAAACGTTGGATGCAAATCTCCACTTCGCCTACCCAACTCTAATTATATGTGCAGCATCATATTCAATCTCTCCATTCTCATGGATTATCAACTAAGATACCTAAAATAATCTCTTTTTGTTATTTCTTAGTCATCAATCTTAACTACTTCCTCATTTCTACTCGTGTTATTACTAAACTTTCATTCCAAGTATTTTGTCTTAGTCCGGCTAATTTTAAAGCCTTTTGACTCTAGAGCATTCCTCCAAAGTTATAACTTTACATTGACGTCGTCTCTATCAATCAAAACTATGTCATATGCACCATGGTACCTCATCCTATAGACGTCTAGTTAACTCATCTATAACCAAAACAAAAGAGATATGAGCTCAACGCTGACCCCAGATGTAGGCCTAATGTCATTGAAAACTCATTGAATACATTGCATCATGGAAAAACAAAACATACAGAGATAGATGAGCATTTTGTTCTAGAAGAATTATTAGACCAAGAAAATGAGCTATGTTTGTTGTGACTGAAATCAGATCAGATTGTTGATTCCTATAAGCTGTTGATGCTTCCAACCAGTATACAACTTTTGGGGGGGGGGGGGAGGGGGGCTGGGCTGGGCTGTTAGGAATTGATTTCTAGGGGCAGTGTAAGAGCTGAGATGTAATTTTGATGTGTAAGAGCAGTGTGGGACCAGTGCTGTAATGTTATAATTGTAAAGGAGATGTTATACATTATATTTTTGTGAAGGGTATTGTTGTAATCTTGTGTCCTAAAGTTGTATATTATATAAAGTGAAAAGAACAGATCGTCCCACCAATCTGAATAAGGTGCAAAACAACGTGCAGCCATCTCTCTGTACAAATCTCATTTTTCACAGTATGTTTATTTTGATATTTTGATTGGAGCTGGGAAGTGTGGAAATCTTAAATTAACACGGATTGAGCTTACTTAGAATAAATATGGCATAAACCTAAAGAAAGTTTTCTTAAGACTTCCTGTAACATAGTCTAAGGGACACATGCAGTTTCAAATCATCATGCCTTCAATTGCTAACATTGGAATATTAAAAAAGAGTGGAGTCAATTGCTAATATGAGGATAGCCGTCATCCTCCATCGAACCTACCTTAAATAAAATCAGTTAAAAGGATGTCCTTAGGACACGAATGATAGGAATACTCGTCCTCCATCGAACCTACCTTAAATAAAATCAGTTAAAAGGATGTCCTTAGGACACGAATGATAGGAATACTCGTGGTTGCTGAGTTCACAATATAGGAAGGTGCGAGAGAAAGAAATGAGGTTCTAGAATCAAAGTGAGCACATCGAGTTACCAGCAAAAGAAAATAGGACAATTATAGCAGTCAAAGAACGACATAAATAAAAGGAAATATGAACTCATGTCTGCCTTAAAAATGGTCAATTGTGAGCCTGACAAAAGATATGTCACAGGAAGATTGGAGTGAAACTTCACCAAAGGTCTAAAACTCTAGCTGAGTATGTCGATGAACGTGGTAACAAGGATTACTTTAGCTGCCAGTAACTTGGTAATAAAGAATGTGTCCTTCATGGGTTAAAGAACAGTTGGATATTTTCGACTGCTCATTCTATCAGGATTGAGGCAATGGCCATGGTTTGGGCCTCTCTCATTCTATTTCCCTTTCTTAAAGAATGAGTGCTTTGACCTATAGGGCTTTAAAATCTCGGGAGAATGGGGCGCCCATGCTTTCTTAGCATGATAATATTAGAGTTCACTGAGCAAATTGAGAAACTGAAGCAGAACAGCATTAATGGAAGCTAATACAGTAAATGGAAGTTCTTTAAACTGAATTGTTTGGCAATATTGTAGAGAAGTGTTTCTTTCAACTATTAAGCATAAGAATCATGTCTCTTTTGTATATTTAGGAGCTGGGTGATGCAAAGTTCTCTACTTCATTTGTGTGTTCTTGCAATAATTATAATATGCAATTGTATATTAAATATACAAAAACTCAACAATCAAATAATTTCACACCTGTCATAAGTTTCATTGCTTGTAGAATGCTTGTATCTGAGGTCACTGTAATGAGTTTATTCTGTAAAAAAAGGGTGAGGTGGTAATCTAAAGAGGAATGTATTGAAAGACAGGATTGCATTAACTGAGCACTTATCGAGAGAGAGAGAGTGAGAGAGATTGCATGAACTGAGCACTTATCGAGAGAGAGAGAGAGAGAGAGAGAGAGAGAGAGAGAGAGAGAAGACAACGAACAGTAATCTTAGTAATTACTAATTAGTTTAATTTTAGTACTAAGTTGTTAGTTACTTATTATTATAGTGTAGTTGTTTGTTTACGTTAACTTTCGTAGGTAGTAG